TCCATCTGTTACAGTGCTATTATTCAATGTACTGCATGCAGATATGTTCCTAGGGGAGTGAGCACAGCTTTCTGATTTAGACACTACCCTGGGACTCAGGAGATTTGAGATTGGTGGGGGTTCTAGAACAATGTGTATAGTGGGGGATGCTGAAAGCCATTGAAGTGAACTACAAACCCTGTGTATGCTGGAAACCATTTCAAGACAGGGAGTGCAGAGGCACCCCTCATACTCCTAGTTCCAGCTCCTTAGGGGATTAATTCCCATTTCTACATAGGCCCCTGTGTAACCATGGGCAAATCATGGAAAGTGGGATTTTCAAAAGCATGCAGATCCCATTAGATGCATCTGAAAATCTTACTCTTAAACTTGCTGATAGATTCCCAAAGGACTTCTGGGGTGGCGATGCTCATTATTATTATGCCTTGCTTTTGATGCCAATAACATCATGGGAGTCACAACGCCCAAATTAGACACTTAGGCTCGCTATACAGTGAATGAAAAGAGAAAGACACTAATGGTTGGGGTGTGCTCAGAAACTGCCCTATAGGTTGGGAGAAGAAGTTCAAATATGCAAATACAGTAAAAGCTTTTTTTATCTTTCATGTTGGGAGAAAGGAACGTGATAGTAAATCAAACATTCCAGTTAACTAAGAGGGAGGGAGTTTGGGTGGGGGTGGGTTGCAGGTCTAGGATTGGGGCATAGGAGGGATGTCAGGGTGCCAGATTTGGGATGTGCTCATCATAGGGACCTGCTGTTTCGAGGCAGAGGTGCAGTTAGGTGGCTCTGAATACAAACCCTACCCCATCCCATTCTAAGTGCTGCCTCCACAACTCCCATTGACCAGGAGCTGCAGCCAATGAGAGCTGTGGGGGTCGCGCCTGCAGGTGGAGTGAAGCATCTAACAGCACCTCTGCCTAGGAACAACAGGACCAGGTCACTACTTGTGGGGAGCCATGAGAGGTAAGACCCCTGAATCTGACATCCCAAAACCCTTCATGCACCCCAATCCGTGCTTCAAGCCAACTCCTGCACCCAAACTATTTTTATACCACCTTCCACATCTCAATCCCCAGTCCTACACCCCAAATCCCTCATGGCTGTTCATCCATCTAAGAGCAACAGGGATATGTCGGGATGCCACCTCCAAGGAGTCATAGAGAGCTAGGTAGGGAGCCTGCTAGCCCCATGCCAACTGAACTATAAACCAGACTTTCAATGAAAATTAGAAATGTCAGTTTATATAGCTTTCCAGGTGGTACAGTGCCACATAACACTGCTTTTAGTGTACTTCGACATTTTTAAGTCACTGGACAATGAGCCAAACTGAATTTGTTATGCTGTTTTTCTCTCTTCTGGAAACTGCCCTGTTGGATAGTGCATTGAATTAAATATCAGAGAGGTTTAACACAATAAATAATTTGCAACACAGCTGCAAATTGTGAGGTATTTATCCTCTGCTTAATCTTTCATATTTGGTCACTTCTTAAACAATCAATAATAACTGCTGGAGTAGCTTAATTTCTTGACTTGCAGCAAATGTTTGCCCCATGAAAAAATGGAAGTAGACATGTTAGTTCTTCGGTGAACAAATAAGCCATAACAAGTTTCTGGGTTGAAAAAGTCCTTTACTGACAACATTTGAAGAAGGGATTTTAGGAATACAGCCAAAAACGTTTTATGATTATTTTTCAGTTCAGTTAAAGGTATTGAATCTTTTACTTTTCCATGTAATTTCATGATGAAAAGGAAAGGCACCAGCTGGGGCTCGTCTAGACTACATCCCTCTTTCGAAAAAAGGGATGTAAATGAGCCCAATCGAAAGTGCAAATGAAGCGGGGATTTAAATATCCTGCACTTCATTTGCATAATCGCGTCCCAGCGGTCTTTCGAAAAAGGGTATTTCAAAAGTGAAACTGCAGCCTAGACGCAGTTCTTTAAAAAAAAACCCTTTTTCGAAAGATCCCGTACTCCTCATTTTTTCAGGAAAGACCGCTGGGACATGATTATGCAAATAAAGAACAGGATATTTAAATCCTTGCTTCATTTGCACTTTCGAAGTGCTTTATTTACATCCCTCTTTCGAAAGAGGGATGTAATGTAGACACAGAACAGGGTGCTTAAAATGAGAGCCATATAAAGCAAGATAGCTTGTTGATTTGTGACTGAATCCACATAATACTTTTACTGATCCAACATTTGTCACTTAGCTGTGATCCTACTTTGTTCAATGAAATCAGGTGTAGTTCATTGGAAAGCTAAAATCTTGAAAGTTCTCCTGTGGAATAGTTCTTAATGGAATAGATTGCTCAAACCTTCATCTTAAAAAATATAATGAAAGAAAATCAATGGGTTTTTTTATTTCAGTGAAAAAAATCCTTTACTTAAATAAATGGTTCAATAAGGGTTCTTTTTCTGTATGAAGCATATTAAAAGTCCCGTTAAGCTTCTGCTAAGCAAGACGATTAAAGATGTCTGTTTATAATAACTAAAAAACAATGAGCAGCTCCAAATGGAATTTGATCTCATCAATATTGCTGTCTCTCAGAAGGTAAAGAAGAAACTATTTCTGAGAGATTAATGTCTGTGCTAAGATTTATGAATTAGAATTTCAACAGGTCAATTTTATACGCAAGTGCTAAAAAACAAAAATGAGAATGCATTAAATGCTGGCATGTAATAAAGGGTAAGCTGATATGAGTGATTCTCCTTTCTCAAACAGAAAAGATGTATTTCTCAGTTTTAGTGCTGAGTTTTTGACATCATTGCCTTATTTCTTCTTAATCTTATTCTGCTGAAGGAACACAAGAGGACTGAGATTCTTCAGGCCATGTCTACACTACAGAGAGGATCGAAGCAGCCGCAGTTGATCTTCTGGGGTTTGAATTAGTGGGTCTAGTGAAGTCATGCTAATTCGAACTGGGAGGGGCACTCTGGTTAATGCTGGTAGTCCTGCTTCCACGAGGAATAAGGGAAGTCAAAGAGAGAGTGCCAAAGGTCAAATTAAGATACTTCGGCTTAAGCTAACCAATTAGAATAGCTAAAGTTGCATATCTTAATTAAAATGTATCCTCTAGAGTAGACCATGGACCAGAAAACACTCTTAGGGTATGTCTACACTAGCCCCCTAGTTCAAACTAGGGAGGCTAATGTAGGCATTCGAACTTGCAAATGAAGCCTGGGATTTAAATATCCCAGGCTTTATTTGCATGTTCCCGTCCAGCCACCGTTTTTAAATGCCACTAGTCTGGACTAACTGCCCATGGCTACACGCAGCAGTTAAACGGTAATTTGAACTAAGTCCTTAGTGGAATGAGGTGTAACAGGTAATTCGAACTAAGGACTTAGTTTGAATTACTGTTTAACCGCCACGTGTAGCCGCGGGCAGTTAGTCCGGACTAGTGGCATTTAAAAATTGTGGCCAGATGGGAACATTCAAATAAAGCCCAGGATATTTAAATCCCAGGCTTCATTTGCAAGTTTGAATGCCTACATTAGCCTCCCTAGTTCGAACTGAAAGTGAGTGAAACTTTCTAGCAGTCAGTGGTGCCTTGAGCTGAGGCTTCTTAAATTTGTGCCTAAATCATATGACATTTTTATAATAGGAATCATGAAAACAATATAAAATCTGAGAAAACAATCAAACCCAATAATGTGAAATGTATAATGTCATGGTAATAATTAATTTATATAGAAAGACATTTATCCTTTACTTTTGAATAAAATATGAGGACTCCAAGGTTTTTGCATATGCATAATCTGTGTGAGAACTGGGATGAATTTTATACAGTTATGCTATTTTATGTTAAAAATCTCCACAGGATGCAATTTGACCCTCAAACCTGGCTGAACAATGGTTTTTATAGTCTCTTACTCATGGTCTCAGTCAAGCATTTTGTGTGGGAAGCTTCTGAGGCCAGAGATGAAAGGGTCTGAGCAACTGTTCTGCTAGGGCTCATGTCTGATCCCTGTGAAGAATTGTAACTTGGACTATTAGATGCATCTTTGTGCTCTGTAAGTTCAACATAACTTCCATATACTGCATTGTTTGTTTTGGCAGATGTGTGACAGATCTGACTATGAATAGGGCTTCCATGTCTATGCTGCTGCCAAATATAATCATTGTTAAACTCATACTTGTGAACATATGTGGGTTTCCAATTAGACATTTGAATGTCTCCCCTGTATCTTGCTTTAGCTGGCCAATCCAGGATGAGCTTCCTGGCTCTTTTCTTCATTGGTTCTAACATAGTCCTCAGATGAACAGTAGTTAGCATTACACAAGGTTTAAGAAAGATAACTGTCCAAAACTCTAGAGTCCAAACAGTCTATGTCTGAGAAGGAAACTGGCCTTTCCTAGCTGACATTATGCCTTGCCCTTTTGCATTGAAAGTGTTATTGTATTATTAGATTGCTGTCTCCTAGGTTAGGAAACTTGTCATTTATATGTCTGTAAAATGAGGTGTTATTTATGGTAATGATGTTAGGATATTTGAATAATGGAGAGTGAGAAAATACAAAAGTCTGCTAATCAATCAATGACTTAGTGTTAATTCCTAGCCCCCAGAACAAAGTCTGAGCTAAGGGATTTATCCAAAGGAGCTATGTAAGAGGTGATAGGAATAGGACACTCCTTCTATTCTCTGTTTGTGGTCTGTGAAATATAAGCACACTCACCAGCGGCTGTATGGATTATATCAGTCACCATCCCCACTGATGCCATCACCAATAACAACAACACAGAGGTTTTGGCCAGTGGATCCTCAGAGTTTCAATTCCACTCTCCTGGGAGTGGATTCCCTCAGTGTAGCTTCTTTACAAACTGTCCTTTCACTCCCTGTTCAGCAGAACCATGTCAGCTGCTCTCATACATTTTGGTTACTATGCACCTACAAAAGATAGGCAGGGAGCAGGATTTGGTCTATAGTACTGAAAGAACATGAATAAAAAATATATTTGCATACAAGCAGCTATTCCCACAATCCATTCTAGTAAAAAGATGTCATTCCTCAAATGCTTAAGCACACTCATCACAACAAAAATTAAGAGATTGAAATATTGTGAGTTGTGACCCTTATTAAGATTTACAAAGGGAGGTTTTTTTCATTAGTTTCAGCTTTCACATGTATGTATTTTGGTATTTAGCATTTTGGCAAATCCATTAGCACTAATGAGCAGTAAAGAATACTTACTTTTTTATAATCTGAAGCCTTTTTCCAATCTTCTCAGAGCCCCTGTACTTTTTTGTTCCCAGATGACTGACTGTGCACCTAAGATTGTACAATTCAAGGTCAGCCTGAGACTTAAATGTGTACCTTCATAGAGAAGAGGTGCCAATCTGTTGGAATTTTAAAGCAGACATGTCCACAGTTTATAAAAGCAAACAGCTTAGGTCAGATTTTCATTCTTGGATTATGCTAAATCAGACTCTGCCAAAGTGTATAAAGGCAGATAGCTCATATTTTCATTCTTGAATTGAGACATGGATTTAACTGTGCATGCCATGAGAGTGAATCCCAATGACAAAACTGTAACAGTCATCTAGTTAGTAAGATTAAGGTGTTCTTTGTGTCATATTTCCATGTTGTTGTGTTAGAAGGACGGAACTTGTCCTGTAATGTTTTTGAACTGATGGTATGACTGCTTGAACTTCATACTTTAATTCTGTTAAGTGAAATATTTAAACTTTGCATACCAAATCCTGATGTTTTGTATTGTCTCCTCACATCCTCAGTTTCTGCTACTATCTACAGCTGGGGTAGGCAATAATTGTTGGTGGAGGAGATGTCAGGTCCAGCATGGGTACACAGAAGAGTGCACGGGCTAAGGGACTGGGATGCAGGAGACTGTGTGAGGTCTGTTTGTGAAGGAGGGGGTTGTGATACAGGGTCTGGGAGGGAGTGCAGGAGAGGATTCTGGCCTGGCGGGAGAGGTGTAGGAGGGGGTACAGGGTCTGGGAGGGAGTTGAGACCTGGAGTAGGGAGGTACAAAGGGTTTGGATGGTGACCTGGGGGTGGGAGTTCGTGTGTGAGAGGGGCAGTGGTGCCAGAGACAGGCTCTGGCTGAGAGGTGCTCAACTAAGCATCTTCTGGACAGCAGCACCCCCAAGGCAGGCTGGGCTCCCTGCCTGCTGCAGCCCCATATCACTTAGGGTATGTCTACACTAGCCCCCTAGTTCGAACTAGGGGGCTAATGTAGGCATTCGAACTTGCAAATGAAGCCCAGGATTTAAATATCCCAGGCTTTATTTGCATGTTCCCGTCCAGTCACCATGTTTAAATGCCACTAGTCCGGACTAACTGCCCGCGGCTACACGCCAGGAGGAGTAACAGGTAATTCAAACTAAGGACTTAGTTCAAATTACTGTTTAACTGCCGCATGTAGCCGCGGGCAGTTAATCCGGACTAGTGGCATTTAAAAATGGCGACTGGACAGGAACATGCAAATAAAGCCCGGGATATTTAAATCCTGGGCTTCATTTGCAAGTTCGAATGCCTACATTAGCCCCCTAGTTCGAACTAGGGGGCTAGTGTAGACATACCCTTAGAGCTGCAGGTTTGTTCTCTCCATGTGGCTCTCAGCCCTGGGAGGGGAAAGAGGCTTGTGCTGCCTTTATCCCTCAGGCCAATCTCTTGGCTCCTATTGGCTGGCTTTTTCCATCCCCCCCAGGCCAATTGCTCAGCTCCTATGGGCTGGAAGCAACCAGCCAGAGCAGACCAGAGAGCTGTTTGACTGAACTTTAAAGCCACAGGAGCTGGAAGCCTGAGGGTCCCAGCAGGGTGGTCCACGGGCTGGAGCCGATGGGTTGGCAGGCCGGATCTGGCCCCCCGGGCCGTATTTTGCCCAGCCCTGACCTACAGTAGAAAGAGAAAGTTGAGTGTTTATAGCAAAGGGCTAGGAACCACCAAGCAAGACTGGAACTAATCTCTTAACTTCTCTATCCCATCAGGAAAGTGGGATAATAACATTTATCCACTTTTGTGATGCTGTTTGGAAAGGCAATGTGGTCCAGTGATAAAGGGGTAGTAAACTGAAGATCTGAATTGTATTCCCAGATGGCCCAACCACTTTATAACCTTGGATAAGTCCCGTGTCTTTGATTCCCCTCTAATTCTTTGTCAATCTTGTCTATTTAGAATTTAAGTCTTTGGGGAAGGGATTGTTTCTTAGTATGTGTTTGTGTCTGGCATAATTGGATCTGATTTTATTTGGAGTCTTTAAGTCCTACTGAAACACAAAATAAATAATTCTGGAAAGAAACATGCCATTCAAGTATAAGATGTTGATGTTTTGTTTTATAAAAATACATAATTCTTTAATCAAACATATTCTCATACAATATGGCTCTTACATGTCCCTATTGTATAGTTCATGGGGTTAAAATGAATTTATTTAAATCAAGGCAATTGAAATCACTAAGTGGAAAGTGTTGATTTAAATAACTGATTTTAATCTACTTTTCCATTTGGACTTCAGTTCCTTTCTAAAGACAAGTACACTCTCATGGGTTGATATAGGCATTAAAACATGAGTCCGAATTTAGAGGGGAGCAAAGTCGTAGGCAAGCATTCTTCTCCTTCTCTTCCTCTCTTTTCTCTACTCAAGGAGCAGCAACTACCAGAAGCAGCATCCTACAACCCACCACCATTACTCTAATCCTGGACTGGTGCGGAAGGGAGATAAATCCTGGGGCCAAATCTGAGTGCTATGTCTATGTGCCTCAGGTCACGGCTCCAGGAATGGGGAGCCAGGCACTGCCCAGTGGTACAGGAGCCACCACTAGGGGGTAAATGTGGATTGGGCTCACATTCCTACCCCACTCTGCCCATCTAATACCTTCCAACAACTCATGGATGGCCACAACCTATCATTTGGGAGACTGTTCTAGGCCACTCAGATAGTCTTGAAAAAATTACCTGATGTCTCTTTCTGTTGTTCTCTACTCTTACCTTATTTCTTGCTGCAACTTATGGTTTCCTGAGTATTCATGTCAAGTTCCCTTTCCATTCCTTAACAAATGGGAAACCTCACCTGTTCTGTGAAGCTTTCTGGCTGTAAAAACCATCCATCACTTTTTGTTTCTCTCCCCCCCCCCTTGTGTTAGTGGTTTTTGATTGGAAAATCTTTGAGGAAATGTTTTGATCATTAAGTAAGCATCATTCCTCTGTCATAAAGCACAGTGGAACTGCACACTATTGCATAAATATGCTTTGAATTTGACATACCTACCGGTAGCTCTTTCTGAGATGTACATACTCTGCCCCATATGTAACTCTATGTAAAATAACAGTCATGCACAGATAGAGAGCATATGTGAAATACTATCAATAAGACATTGTTCCAGTGCTCATTGTCAGGCCATATTACATGCTAAGGCACTGTTAATAATTCTATCATACAAAAATCACCTGGCCCTTAAAAGTAGGAGTAAATATTTAAAGTGGCAAGTAATACTTTCTATTCAAGGTATCATTAAATAGTGGAACATTCTTCCCCACAATTCAATTGATCCAATAACTTAGTTAGATTTTTAAATGGACTAGACTGGAGTAGGCAATAATTTTTGATAGGGGGACACTTTCATATTTTGGTAAAAGTTCAAGGGCTTCACTTTTCTATGAAGAAGATGTGGGATCTGGATAGTGATGGTGATTGGGTGCAGAAAGGAGCTTGGGATTCAGGTTTGGGGTGAAGGAAACAGTGTGGGGTCTGAGAGAGAGTTTGGGTGAAGGAGAGGTTTGTGAATTGGGATAGGGGATTAGGGTGAAAGGCCTACCACTGCAGGGGGTCAATCCCTGCTGCCAGTCCCAGGCCCCACATTTAATCCCCTGGGTCACCCTGGGCATCACTGGCTAACCTCACTATTGGGGACTGGCCTGTCCACAGGACACTTGGGGTGGCCACTGAAAGACTCTGCAGAGCCTGGCACCCGGGGTGGTGTCCCCAAACTGTCCTATGGCCAGGACGGTCCTGCCTGCTGATGAAGCCTTCAGGTTTCAGTCCTGGGCAATGGGGCTTGGGATTCAGGCATGGCCCCAGCAAGTGTAAGCCACTTCTGGTGAACTCATTAAAACAGGGTCACTCACAAACCCTTGGCTAGAGCCATTCCTGCGCCCTGGGCAGCAGGCACATGACGCATGCACGGCTCCGTCCCCGGACTCACGGCACATGCGTGGCCTGCCCTCTCGGCATACTGTGCACCTTACAGCTGCAATCGGGCATGCAGTGCCTGATGGAGGCTCTGAGGGGCACCGTGTGGCCTCCAGCCCCAGGCGCGCGGCACCTGATGGCAGTTCTAAGGCCGGGTGCGCAGTGCCCCTTACAGCTGCTATCAGGTGCCCCGCATAGGTTGGCACGCGGGGCAGCTGCCTGGCTAGCCCCTCCCCCCTTAATCCAGCCCTGACCTTAATAGTACAAGTCTTAAACACTTACATGGGTTCTGTATTGCCACAGATGCACTTACTCAATTTAAGTGCATGATATGTGAAAACTGATTTGGAATAACTGAAGTGCAAAGGAAGAAAGTTACACTTTGAGTTTGAAATAAGCCACAGTCCAGCCGCACTCTTAGCTGTTTATTCCTGCTTGTAATGCATTACCCGCTTCTTGTTTTTAATGCTACTGACATGTTGTGATCACCCTCCACTGCAAGGGAGAGTCAAATAGTTCAATACAAGCTAGTCTCCCTTCCCTTCCGCACACAGCTCTGTGCAGTGATTTGTGTAGCTCCCGTGGAAAATTCCACGTAAAGAATTGATCCCACGAGGTCGCTCAGCGGGCTCCTTGATTTCCCAGCCCGGGGCAGCCCGGAGAGGGGTGGGTGAAACGTAGATGCCGCCGACTGAGCATCAGTTGTGTCCCCCGCCTCCCTTCCCCGTTCCCATCTGTGTTCAATTACAAATACAAATGATCGATCCCTTTGGGCTGCGGGCTCCCCGGAGCCAGGGCAGACGACGCAGCCGGGGACCCACCGGCGAGGTGCGACCCAGACGGGCAGGGACCCGGGGCAGCACGAGCTCTCCCGGGCTGGCGAGCGGGGCCCTGGCTGCAGACAGACACGTGCCTGCTCTGATCCCCCGGCTGTTGCTGGGCCAGTGCCAAGCAGGGGAGTCCCGGGGTCACTCTCTCCGCCCCCTGAGCCCAGCGTCCCCTCCCCAGCTCTGCCGGCCCCCGGGGG